CAGTGCCAGTTTTGGCAGCAGCAGCACCAGATGACTCAGGCGACCCGCAACAGAGTTTCGGCGTAGCCTCACCCCACTCAGCCTCGCCTGACCTCCACCAGGACTTCGCGAGCAGCAGGCGCAACAGCAGCACACTTCCACACCGACACGAGCAGACTTCACTCACCGCATCCACCTCTTCGTACACACCGACGTCAACCTCGGCCATGCCCTGGGCTCCGTGAGTCTTGACGCCGTCTACGGGTTTGTCTACTATTCCGACCCTGTCTGCGACTTTCCCCACGTCTCCTTCACACCTCTCCCCATCTGCGCACCCCGCCTTTCGCTCCACGAGCCTGCTCCCACCTTGCCCACAGCGGCCGCCACAAGGGGGGGGGTGGGAGTGACGGGGCGGGGCGCACGGGACGGGCTGGGAGAGCCGACGGGTCAGCATCGGCACGGTCCGCCGCGGGGGTACGGGCCCGCGGCGGCCGTGGACCACCTGACCGCGGCTGCTTGAGAACCGCGCCGCTGGAGCCCTCGCCCTGCCCTCCGGGGGGGGGGGGGCGCTCGGCCCCCCCCATGTACTTGCCCACTGGTCCCCTCCTGTCGCAGTGTCCGCTCCTCCAGCCACGCTGCGCCTGCTGCGCCTGTCTTTGTTCGCCACCGCTGCGCCCATGTTACTCTATGCCCACCCCCCACCCCGCAGCCCTCTCCGCTGCGTCGCCGCGCTACGCCACGCACTAAAGACCTCCTCCACTCTACTCCTCAACTTGAGAACTCCGGAGAGGCCTGGAGGTTTGTGCCCCCTTCCCTTCCCCTCTTGAGGTTCCGCCGTTCGATCGCCACTTCTTTTCCAAATGCTCTTTGTTTTTGTTTCGCCCTTCACCCCGCGCTTTGGGTGCGGTGTGGGGGGGTCGAGGGCCGCATCCGTCCTGGGAGCCAATCGCCCGTGGCTCGAAGCTCGACGGAGGAGGAGGAGGAGGAGGAGGAGGAGGAGGAGGAGGAGGAGGAGGGGGAGGAGGAGGAGGAGGAGGAGGAGGAGGAGGAGGAGCGAGCCTCGGAGGGAGCGGTGCCGCCACCTCCGCGCCAAAACACCAATCTCGGGATTTCAACGCCACGGATCAACCTGACTGCTGCGTCTTGACGATCCGGGATCGTGCCAGAACGCCGTTCTTGTGATTCCAACACCACGAGTCAACGTATTCGTTGCGCCCTGACAATCCAGAATCGTTCCAAAACATATTGGTTTGGTACGCTAGCCAGCTTACCCCGTGAAGCTCTGGCCAATGTTTTAAGACGAGCTTGCTCGGCGCTCAGACGAGAGCCACATTTTGAAACGGAACCGCCCTCGATCCATGAGATTTTTGTAGGTTTCAAAACGATTCTGCGTGGCGCTAAGGCGAGAGCCACATTTTGAAAACGACCCGCCCTACAATAATGTGCGCGGCGTTAATGCGAAAGCCAAATTTTGAAAACGACGCGCCCTCAATCCGTGAAGGTCTTGCACATTTATAAGACGAGTGTTCGCGGCGCTGGGTTAGAGCCACATTTTGAAGCGATGCGCCCTCCATCTGTGAAGCTGCTGCCGTCTTCTAGCTCCAGGATCATACGTGATAAGGATGTCTCAGGCGAAACGCCCGGCCCGCCCTTCCGACTGGTCTCGGGGTGCGACAAGGAGGAGTTATTTCTCAGGAAAAGGAAAGGGGGGAGAGGAGGAGAGGCGGAGGAAGAGATGAGGAAGAGGAGGAGGAGGAGGATGATGAGGAGGAGGAGGAGGAGGAGGAGGAGGAAGAAGACACGTGTAAGCCCAAGGTTCATCAACGATGTTGGAATGAACTCCCTCTCCAAGCTCCCTTTTCACAGGCCTCTGCAATGATTAATTTCCACTGAGGGAAGTGCCACGTTGGGAGACAACCGCTTGAAGATCCTGAGGCGCGCCAAAACACCACTCTCGGGACTGCACTTCCACAATCCGACCTGACTGTCGCATCTTCATGATCCTGAACCGTGCCAGAACATCGCTCCTGTGACTTCAACACCGCGAATCAACGTGACAGTTGCTCCCTGACAATTTAGACTCGGTCCAAAACACCTCTTCTGGTACGTTAGCCATCGGAACTCGTGAATCGCTTGCACATGCTTAGAAAGAGTGTGCGCGGCGCTAAGGCGAGAGCCACATGTTGAAAACCGCCCACCCCCAATCCGTCATACTTTTGAAATTCTTTAAGACGAATGTGCGCGGCGGGCGCCATGGCGAGATCCACATTTTGAAAACGTCCCGCCCTCAATCCGTGATTTTGTTTAGCATTATTTGAGACGAATGTGCGCGGCGCCAAGGCGAGAGCCACATTTCGAAAACCGCGCGCCCTCAACCCGTGAGAATTTGCATTTTTTAAACGACTGTGCGCGGCGCTAAGGCGAGACCCATAGTTTGGAAGCGGCCTGCCCTCCATCAATGAAGCTGTTGCCGTTCTAAGCTTCAGGAGCAACAGTAGTAAGTAGCGGAAGTCTCATGCGAAACTAGCGGAAGTCTCATGCGAAACACCCCGCCCTTCCGATTGGCCTCGGGGTGCGTCAGGGAGGAACTACACGAGGAACATGAATGGATGAGGGGGAGGAATTGGAATAGGAGGGCCATCGCATCTGCTTGAGTTTGGTTTTGATTCAGCTACTTGCCTGCTTCCAGCCCCTGTCTCTGGGTTGCGCCTCTCTGATCAGCGTGTCGAGAGTTCTGGGGGAACCGAAGACCACGGGTCTTGCTGGGGAGGGGGAGGAGGACGAGGAGGACGAGGAAGCGGAGCATCGGCAGGATGGATGGAGGGGGGCCATGAGCAGGCGGCACGAGGCACGGGGCACGGGAGGACCATCCGAGGGAGCACACCCAACTCAGGAGGGACAAAAACACACACACACAGACAACTAATCGTCAATTCCCCAGAAACTGTGGGAAAATATTGGAAGGGGGGGGGGGGAAGACGAAAAACCAGAAACCATGAGATTATCCCGGCAAAGCAACCTAACAGCGATGCGTAGGAGCATATCTGGAAGCATTCCCCTTAAGATTCAGATGATAATCCAGTTGTAGAATTCTGCTATTCTCGCGGTCGTAGTCGCATTCGCGATGACAGTCGCAGTGGCAACGGCAGTCGCAGTCACAGCCTCAGCCTCAGCCTGCCTCAGCCTCAGCCTCAGCCTGCTTGAGCCTCAGCATCAGCCTGCCTTCAGCCTCGGCCTCAGCCTGCTTCAGCCTCAGCCTCAGTCTGCCTTCAGCCTCGCCTCAGCCTCAGCCTGCCTCAGCCTCAGCCTCAGCCTCAGCCTCAGCCTGCCAGCCTCATCAGCCTCAGCCTGCTTCAGCCTCAGCCTCAGCCTCAGCCTCAGCTGCTCATCAGCCTGCAGCCTCAGCCTCAGCCTCAGCCTCAGCTCAGCCTGCCTCAGCCTCAGCCTCAGCCCTCAGCCTCAGCCTCACCTGCATCAGCCTCAGCCTCAGCCTCAGCCTCAGCCTCAGCCTCAGCCTCAGCCTGCCTTCAGCCTCGGCCTCAGCCTCAGCCTGCCTCAGCCTCAGCTGCATCAGCCTCAGCCTCAGCCTCAGCCTGCCTCAGCATCAGCCTCAGCCTCAGCCTCAGCCTGCTTCAGCCTCAGCCTCAGCCTCAGCCTCAGCCTCAGCCTGCCTCAGCCTCAGCCTGCATCAGCCTCAGCCTCAGCCTCAGCCTGCCTCAGCATCAGCCTGCCTCAGCCTCAGCCTCAGCCTGCCTCAGCCTCAGCCTCAGCCTGCTTCAGCCTCAGCCTCAGTCTGCCTTCAGCCTCGGCCTCAGCCTCAGCCTGCCTCAGCCTCAGCCTGCATCAGCCTCAGCCTCAGCCTCAGCCTGCCTCAGCATCAGCCTGCCTCAGCCTCAGCCTCAGCCTGCCTCAGCCTCAGCCTCAGCCTGCTCAGCCTCAGCCTCAGCCTCAGCCTCAGCCTGCCTCAGCCTCGGCCTCAGGCCTCAGCCTGCCTCAGCCTCAGCCTCAGCCTCAGCCTCAGCCTCAGCCCTCAGCCTGCCTCAGCCTCAGCCTCAGCCTGCTTCAGCCTCAGCCTCAGTCTGCCTTCAGCCTCGCCTCAGCCTCAGCCTCAGCCTGCATCAGCCTCAGCCTCAGCCTCAGCCTGCCTCAGCATCAGCCTCAGCCTCAGCCTCAGCCTCAGCCTGCCTCAGCCTCAGCCTCAGCCTGCTTCAGCCTCAGCCTCAGTCTGCCTTCAGCCTCGGCCTCAGCCTCAGCCTGCCTCAGCCTCAGCCTGCATCAGCCTCAGCCTCAGCCTCAGCCTGCCATCAGCCCTCAGCCTCAGCCTCAGCCTCAGCCTCAGCCTGCTTCAGCCTCAGCCTCAGTCTGCCTTCAGCCTCAGCCTCAGCCTGCCTCAGCCTCAGCAGCATCAGCCTGCCTCAGCATTCAAAATGTGGCCCGGGAATGTAGTTCTGGGAACTCGAAGAACACGAAGTGGCCTACAGTTGGCTCCGGGCATTCAAAATCATGCCCAGGAATGGAGTTCTGGGAACTCGAAGAGCACGAAGTGGCCTACAGTTGGCTCCGGGCATCCAAAATGTGGCCCGGGAATGGAGTTCTGGGAAGTCGAAGAGCACGAAGTGGCCTACAGTTGGCTCCGGGCATCCAAAATGTGGCCCGGGAATGGAGTTCTGGGAAGTCGAAGAGCACGAAGTGGCCTACAGTTGGCTCCGGGCATTCAGAATGTGGCCCGGGAATGGAGTTCTGGGAGGTCGAAGAGCACGAAGTGTGTGACTGTTTGCGAAAAGCGCATTCGGACACGAGTTCGGACACAGCTCCCCGGATGCCGCCCCGACCCCCCTGTGGAGTCATCTGCTGCTCTCTTTTGAGTCCACTAGAAACCTATCAGCAAAAGCTGTTAGGTAAAAAGATGGGGAATCCAGGGATTTGTGTGTAATGTGTGTGTGTGTGTGTTTATTTGTGAGTCCCTGGGCCCCTTCACCAACGCGATGCCCCGCACGAGGTTGTGCGGCACCCCCTCTCAGGAGGCCGCCGCCCTGGCGCCCGGGCGGCCGTCGCGCCCGGTGCGCCTGTCGCCGGCGGGCCCCGTCGGCGGGGGCCACGCCTCGGGGGAGGGAAGGGATCGCGACGCCGCTGCTGCCAGACCTCCAGCGCCAGGCAAAAAATCAAGACGGAGGTCTTCTCTCCCCAGACATGATCGCGTCGTAAAAAAATAAGGACGGCAGTTTTTCGCTATTTTCGGCTCCTGGGGGCCCTCGCCGGGCCCTCGGGCCGTCAAAGAACGACGCAGGATGAAAAACTGGCCCCGGGGAAAGGGTCGGGACTTCCGGGGACGCCGTCCTGAAAAAATCAGGACGTCGCATGTCTGGGTCTCTCTCTCTCTCTCTCTTTCTCTCTCTCTCTCTCTCTCTCTATATATATATATGGTACCCCCCCCGCAGGGGTCTAGCTTATTATGCTTCTTCACTGTTCGTCTCCTCCTCCTCCTCCTCCTCCTCCTCCTCCCTCCTCCTCCTCCTCCTCCTCCTCCTCTTCCTCCTCCTCCTCCTCCTCCTCCTCCTCCTCTTCACTGTTCGTCTCCTCGGCTCCCGCCTGAGAGGTCCCCCAAAAACGCGAAGAGGAAGAGGCTCCCGCCTGAGAGGTCCCCCAAAAACGCGAAGAGGAAGAGGCTCCCGCCTGAGAGGTCCCCAAAAAACGCGAAGAGGAAGATGCTCCCGCCTGAGAGGTCCCAACAAAACGCGAAGAGGAAGAGGCTCCCGCCTGAGAGGTCCCCAAAAAACGCGAGGAGGAAGAGGCTTCCGCCTGAGAGGTCCCCCAAAAACGCGAGGAGGAAGAGGATCTCGCCTGAGAGGTCCCAACAAAAACGGAGTCAAATGGAGGCTCCCGCCTGAGAGGTCCCAAAGAAACCCAAAGAAACCCAAGAGGAAGGCCTCTCATCCCTGCAACTGTCCCCAAAAACCAAAAAACACCCAAAGCTTCAAAGGAGTATGCCGCCCTTGCCAACAAGGCTGGAGCAGCGGTGTTTTTTTTTTTTTGTGCTTCTGCACGCATCCGCTGGGACGCACTCGTGCGCTTCCTCTGGGTCGTGCTTCTGCACGCATCCACTGGGACGCACTCGTGCGCTTCCTCTGGGTCGTGCTTCGGCACGCATCCACTGGGACGGACTCGTGCGTTTCCTCTGGGTCGTGCTTCTGCACGTATCCACTGAGACGCACTCGTGCGCTTCCTCTGGATCGTTTTTCTGCACGTATCCACTGGGACGCACTCGTGCGCTTCCTCTGGGTCGTGCTTCTGCACGTATCCACTGGGACGCTGGGTCGTGCTTCTGCACGCATCCACTGGGACGCACTTGTGCGCTTCCTCTGTGTCGTGCTCCCGCACGTATCGGTGCTCCCCGCGCTGAGGGTTGGGGGTGTCTCGAGCAGGAGGGCGGAGGTGAGGGCGGGGTGGGAGATGGAGGATTTGGGAGGGGGGGTGGGGAGTGGCCACACCACCAGGGGGATTCCCTATGCTCCTCGCTCTGGTGGTTGTGGTGCCGCTTTCCTGTGTTCCGAAGACGATGGCGCTCATGGCGGCGATGCGCAGCATCGGGGAGCGGGTCGAGACGCTGCGCCAGTGGGAGGAGGATCTCTGGCAGAAGAACGCGCTGGTCTGGGGGCGGATGCACGGGGCGTCCGCCGACTCGCGGCTTCGTCGCTGGGGCTGAGTGAGGGGTTCGCATTGGCATCAGCGGCGAGCGTTGCGCGGTAGACGTTGCTGGTGCGCCTGCGCTCCCAGGAGACAAGGGCTGATAGCCCTGCCATTCCAAGAACAGAGGGATCACGTAAAAAACAAGCACCCTCCAACCCTAACCACCCAACGAAGGAGAGCCGCTTGCCAGCTTCAATGAGTGAGCGTTCGGCTTGAGTGGGTTCAGTTCGGCATTTCTCCCACAGCAAGGGCGCTCTTGTGCCCTGTATGGCTTGCGTCGCCGTCGTCGCGCCCCCCCTTCCATCCCCTGCACGTCATCTGATCGCATGCTTGCGCCATGTGCATTTCTGGCTAAAGCTTCCCCGCAAGCGTCGACTCGATTCTCTGGCGGCCCGCCACTCGCTGCAATGGCGCACGAGTTTGCGTTCTTGCCAGATTCTCGCCCTGGCGCGCCACTGCCCCCAGATTCCTTTTGGTGGAAACTGAGCGCGATGCAGTCCCATCGCCTGCAGGCCGGGGGGGACTGGTTGTTCGAAATGCATCGCTGATAGAACCCTCCGCAGCTATCGAGGGCGGCCCGTGCCCTCCCCCCCCCCCCTCCCCCGAGGGCCGCCTGCGCATCTCCGTCGACGGGTGGCCGAGCTTCAAGCACTTCCACAAGAGCCTCCAGCAGTACGTCGCGGCGGGGTTCGCGGGCCCGCTCTGGTTGCCCTCCGGCCCAAGCCTACTCCCGATTATCGTGCGCCCTTACAGAAACTTGGAGGTGACGGCGGTCTGCATCTGGCATGATCGCCCCGCGCGCGTGTGCGACCTTGGCTTCATTACCGAGCACAACGTTGCCTGGGTCGACACTGCGGGTTGGGCCACTACGTGGAAGTGCGCGGAGAGGAGGGCGCAGACATTTCTGGGGTTGCCGCGGCACCGTGACATTGCATTCCTCGTGGGCGCGCACGAGCCCAGCGTGCGCGAGCACGTCGGGCCGTCCTTCGGGCTTCGGCCGTGAGCGGCCCGCGGCGAGGGGCCCACTCTGCTGGTGCGATATGAGGGGGGAGCCTGCTCAGCGAGGAACGCATTCAGGGCTTTATTGTTTAGATTCTACAGCGCGCTGAAGCACGTCGTCCAGTCGTCGCTGAAATCGCGTCATCGCGACGAAAGGCACCTTGTCTGCCTGTCAAGAATTCTCTGTGGGAGCTGTTCGAAGTAATGATGATAATGATGATGATGGTGGTGAAGATGACAGTGCTGATGATGATGGGGGCAGCGCTGATGACGACGACGATGAAGATGATGATGCTGATGGCGATGCTAGCGATGATGATGGTGATGGTGATGGTGACGGTGGTAATAATGGTGATGAGGAGGACGATTTTGATGCTAATGATGGTTATGACGATGCTGATGATTATTCAGACGACGACAGCGGCGACGAATATTACGATGATGCGGATGCCGATGATAATGATGATGCCGACAACGAAGACGAGGACCATGAGCAGGATGGGGATGGGCCATCGTTGTGGTTTGGCGCCCCCACATGAAACGGCAAATCCACATGCTCGAATCCCTCTGAGGCTTGCCATCCGCATCATTTGTTTGGCCAGCCCGCGTACTCGATTGCTTCCGAGGCCCATCATCAGCAACGTTTGTTTTGCCAATGTTCCAGAGGAGACGGCGCCCTTGGCTCGACCAGGGCGATGCTTGGGTTGTTGATAGGCAGCGAGGGCGTTGTCTCGCGATGCCGATGAAGACGTTGCAACCACCAGCGCGCAGCAACGTGATCGCCCTCTCCGTCGGATTGTCGCCATCGCCGCAGCCGTTTCTTGGCCGAGTCGGCAGCCAGAGCCGCAGGTGCCCGCGCCTCTCACGCTTTGCCTTGTCCGTGCTATCGCGCGAGGAACCAGGGGTGGCCGTCCACCGTCGCCCCGCCGCTGCTGTCGGGGGACGTTTGGGCATCGTCCCCAAAAAGGGCAAGGCTCGGATGGTGCTCAAGCGCCCCTCTGCTACCAAGACCAAGGACTGGAAGAACGTGCCGTACGTCAGGGAGAAAAACGCGACGCCTGGCAGGGGCTTGCGCCGCGAGCAGGCAAAGTGGAAGCGCACAGTCCCAGAGCTCTTGGCGGCGTCTGACGCGGAGATCATGAACATCTTGCTGGAGGACAAGCTACTCGTTGATTGGACTGGGGCGACTTGTCCTTTCTGCGGGCGCGGCAAGCTCGGGGAGTTGGCAGCTCGCCCGCGCAAGGGCGATCGCTTCTTGCATCGGTGCAGCGCGAAGGGCTGCCAGAAGCACGTGTCTCCTGCCCACGTGGGCCCAATCTTCAGCGAGCACTCGACGTCCGAGAGCTTGCAGAAGCAGGCCGTGGTCCTACTGGCGAAGCTCACGGGGACTCACACGCAAACACCCACATCATGTTCGACGTCAACCACAAAGCGGTGGAGCGGATTTGGAGCAACGTTGAGCAGGCCAGGAGGATGTACGTGGAGGACGTGGAGCCGACCCTCGAATACAGTGGGCCGAAGGTGTGGGCAGACGTGGAGGCTGACGAGGCGACCTTCGACAAGTTGGACTTGACCGACGGGCCCGAGCCTCTGGGAGACCCAACTCACCCCGTCATGTGGGAGCAGTGGTTGGGCATTGCAGCGCGGCAGGCCGCGCGCGCTGACACTTACGAGATTGTGCCCCGAGATGGCGAAGAAGCGGGCGCCTGGCCCTGGGGCCGTGCGCAAGGTAGAGTGGAAGCCCCTTGCGGAGCGCTGGCTGAAAGACCGCGATGTTGTCTTTCACACTGACTCGGCGCGTTCCTACAAACTACGTGTGCCCGGAGTCATTCACGACTTCGTTGTTCACAAGAAGAAGTACAAGAACGTCGGCGGCAAGAAGGTGCTCATTCCCCCCAGGTACGTCGAGCTGAAGACGCACGTACTCCCGTCGGGCAAGCACCTCAAGGTCAAGAGCGGCACCCAGATCATTGACCGTGCGTGGCGCTTCATCAAGGACCGCGCGCACAGGAGCGCCAATGCCAAGGCAGGAACCAAGCTGCTCGCCACCAAGATCCGCTCGGCCCAGTACGACTACTGGCACAAGGACGACGACATGTGGGCCAAGACCGGGGAGATGGTGCAGCACATCATGCGCGACGTGCTGACGGCGTGATCGGCCCGCGGCGGACGTTTTGGCGTCGACGTAGGCAGTGCGCCCGCACTGCTCGGGGAGTTCTATTGGCACAATGACGCCACATTCGAGTTACTTCGGTGCGCATGGCGCAACAAATTATGCGCAACGTACAGTATGCGTGATCGGCCGCGGCAGCCGTATGGGCGTAGACTTAGGTAGTGCGTCTGCACTACGTCGGGGTTCTGCCATGGGTATTCTTCATTGCGTGCTTCTGCACCTAGAGGTTTGTAATTCAAAAAGAATGCCCGCGGGTCCTGAAACCCAAACGCATCGCACTGCCAACGGGTCCAATCATCTCACCGCCACCGCGCCATCGGAAATTCTAGCATACACTGTCAGCACAATGACAGGAACACAACATCACATCATCGCTTCGCTTGGACGCCGACATATTGAACGGTAGACCCCTGCGGGGGGGGGTAGCATATATATATATATATGTATATGTCTGTATTTATATGTATATGTGTAGCAACCTTGCGGCCTCCGTGGGGGCCCTCGCTCGCGCTCCATGGGGCCGTGAGAAGCCGACCTGGGGTGGAAGCCCAGCCCTGGGGGCAAGGGTGGGGGGTTCCGGGGGCCCAGTGAGGAAAAAGTCGAGGCGTCGATGGATTCTCCTCGAGACTCTGGTCAGGGCGTGCTCCATGAGAGGTCTGGGGGGCGGCGGCATCGGCAGCTTTCTGATTCCCCGGCGCCAGCGCCGACCTTCCCACCGGTAGACCACCGATCGAGCATCCGTCGATCGAGGAGGGGAGGGGGGGATTGGGGATGGCGAGGGTGAGGTGGTGGAAGAGGAGGAGGAGGAGCAGGAGGAGGAGGAGGAGGAGGAGGAGGAGAAGGAGGAGGAGGAGGAGGAGGAGGACAACCAGAGTAAACCAAAGAAACATAAGCGATGCTGCAGTACACCCTCCCGTGCCAAGTCCCCTCGTGCGCCCCGTACAAGTCCTCCTCTTCATTACAAGAGGCACCCCCTTGAACGACCAGCACATTTGGGGCTGCCATTTTGGCGAAGTCCCCACATGTGGGCCTGCCAAACATGTGAATATGTTCAAAGTAAACGTTTTGTCTCGGGATTTTGATGATTCTTGCTTCTTGGGCCCCTCTCGGGGGTCGTCTTGGAGCCCTATTGGGGGGTCTTTGAAGCCTTTTGGTCAGTTTGAGGCTATCTTGGTCTTCGTACAGGACTCCTGTGCGTGTTGGAACCCTGCTTGTGCAAACGTAGATTGATGCTTCGCATCTTGAAGGCCACAGAGTGTAGAAATGGAGGCTCCGGAAGCCCCCCCCCCCGCCTGGTTACCCCCCTTCTAGTCGGGTTTCAGACCCCATGGGAGGGGGAAAGGGGGATGGGTACAGCCAACCCCCTTTCGAAGAAAGACTGCTTGCCCCCTCCGTGTAACCGATGCACAGGTTTAGTCCTTTGGTGATTAGCTTCGAGGATTCCAATTTACAAAAGAGGCGCCATGGATCCGTGCAGCGCTACGGGCGTTGAAACTGTGGGTCCTTGAACTCAGCGAAAGTTCAAGCGAGAACTCCTTTTTGAAAAAGAGCAATCCCCCATCCTGCTAAACCTGGAAAGCAAAAGCGAATGCGCGCGGCGCTCAGGAGAAGACCACACATCGAATAGGAACCGCCCTCCATCCGCGAAGCTAGTGCAGACTTGTAAATTAGAGCGCGCGGCTTGAAGGCGAAAGTACCATTTTGAAAATGTCACCCCTTCCACCAGTGATAACGTTGCAAACATTTAAGACGAGTGTGCGCGGCGCTAAGGCGAGAACCACATTTTGAAAACGGCCCGCCCTCAACCCGTGAAGTTGTTGGAATTTCGTAAGACGAAATATCGCGGCGCTATGGCGAGAACAACATTTTAAACGCGACTCCCTACATCCGTGAAGCTGCCGCGAACTGTCAAGACGAATGTTCGTGGTGGTCATGAGAATCACATTTAGCAGACGGCCACCTCCATCCGTGAAACAGTTGCGCTTCGGCGAGAGCCACATTTGGAAAAGGGCCCCCTTTCCATCTGTGAAACAGCTGCGAACTTGAAACGAATGTGCGCGGTGCTACGGCTGGAACCACATTTCGAAAACGACTCCCCTCCATCCGTGAAACTGTTGCAAATTTTAGGTTTCAGGATCATACATGGTAGGGACGTCTCAGGCGAAACGCCCACCCCGTCCTACCGACGCGCCTGGGGGTGCGACAGAGTCGAGTTTTCGAACGGCCGTCGGCCCGTCCCGCCACCGTGCCTGAGCTGTGTTTCAGAGACCTCTTGGAAGCATATAGGGTCTCTTGGGGTGTCCCCTGGGTGGCTCCAGTATCTTGGGCCGTCTTGGGGGCTTCTTGGGCCGTCTCAGCACCCTCTTGGGGTTCCTTTAGGGCCTTCTTGGGGCGATCTTTGAGGCCTCTTGGGCTGTCTTGGAGCGTCGGGAGTTAGCAAAGGCGGAGACGCCAAAATCCTTCCCCGAGCCGAAGGAAAAGCAATGACTGTTGCCTCTTGAGCCCTCTTGGGGGACTCCTCTCGGGGCGCCTTGGAGGCCTCTTGGGCCATCTGGGGGGCCTCTTGGGACACGTGGGAGGGTTCGGGAGGTTGTCCTGGGCGGGCGCAGTGTCCAGAGGGCCAGCAGGAGACACCCCATAGCCACGGGTCTAATTCTGGGAG